AATGGGTTTACGCTATGTGTATAATTTTTGATATCCAGGATAACCTTCTGGATACATTTGGGGATTATGTAGGCATTCGAGGCTTTTTGTGCCAAAAAGCCCATTTTTATACTACTAATATGGATGAATCTAATATAATAACATATTATGTATTTTATTTATAATAACCTTAATTTTATTTAATCAAAATTTAAGATTAGATGTAACATAAATAAATAATTTAGCAAAAAAAATTTTTTTTAAAAATTTCAAGAAATTGTTTATAACTGAAAATTTTATCTATAAAATTACTTTTTATACATTAAATAAAAGTTTTTCAAATTAAATTTTACATATAAAAATTTTGTTTATAAAAATATTTAGAATAATTTATTATTAAGAAATAAAAAAGGTTATTATAAATAAGATATATAATATGTTATTATGAATACATCTTTCCATAAAATAATAAATAACTTTTTACTTAATTAATAAATAAAGAAATTAATATAACTAATAAATAATTTTTATTTTATTTATTATTTAAAATTTAATTATGAGTTATTATAATTACTTTTAAGTTTATAATTAATTTAAATTAAATAAATTATAAAATTAATTCAAGAATTTTAGATATTTATAATATAATAAGAATTTTTTAAATTATAAATTCTAATAAATAAAATCAATATAAAAAAATTAAATAAATAAACTTATTAATAATATATATAATAATTATAATTAATTTATTTATTATATAAAAAATATATATTAAATTAATTATATTTATAATTATAAAGATTATTTTAATATAATAAGTAATTAAAAATATTAATTCTTATTTTAAAATTTTTCTAAAATTTTAAATTTTAATTATTTATTAATATTACTTCAATTTTATAAATTTTTATATTTTAATTATATAAATATTTAAAAAAGTCTTTTAAAATAAAAGCCAAATTATATATTATTAATAAGATAATTTATTTTATATATAATTAGTAACTATTATATTATATTAAAGTAATAATTATAAATATAAATATAATTAATCTAAATATTTGAAGAAATTTTAATATATTAAATAAGTTTACTTATATTATATTTAATTATACTAAAATTTTATATTAAATATTTGATTTTTTTTTGTTATAGATAATTTTAATTGATTTTAAAATTATAATAAAATGTAATATTATTTTAAAATTAAATTATTTTACCTTTAGAAAAAGATTTGGAGATCTTTATTAAATTAATGTATTGTATTTATTTTAAGGATATTTTATTTAATAATTATCAAATTTTTATTTAAATATCAATTATTTATAAATTCTACTAATATTTATTTCATTTTTTTTTATTTATTATCTAATATTTATTATTAATAATTGCTTGACATTACATTATTAAAACTTTTATATAGGATTATACATTAAAACAATATCATCTTTTTAGCATACTGAAAAATAATTACTTTATTTTATTTTAAAATCATTTGTAATGAAATGCAAAACCATAATTTTTTTGATTCAAAAATTTTTCATAGTTCTTATATAAAACAATTTTGATTAAAATAATAAATAAAGACCGAAAAATTTATTTAAAATAACTTAATAATTTTACAAATAATTTTAATACAACAAAAAATATGAAAGTGTTGTAATTAATGATTATGATAAAAAAGAAAAATATATTACATACTAATGAATGATATAAATAAGTTTTTTTTTACAAAAATAAAAATTTAATGAATAGAAAAGTAATATAAATTATTTCTTTAGTTGATAATCTCTTCAATTTCTAACTTCCAAATTTTTGAACCTTCCTAAATTAAAAAAAATTTATTAAAAATGAATATCACTATGATCAAATACTAATGAAAGAAAATAAATTTACCTTGTCTTTGTTTTGTTTAAGGTTTTTATATTTAGTTGCACATTGCCCAGCAGTAAAATTGTGGTTCTTTTCGTTTAACATTCGAGAAGCACCCTCCCAGAGAGTTTCTTTAACTTCATGAGCGATTAAGCCACGTTTTGGTAATTTCCAAACCATTTTCTTATGTTCTTTCAAATATTCAAGCAATAATTTAGTTTGCTCATCATTCCATATAATACGTTTCGAACTTTCATTTATTTCTCTTTTTCTTTTTTTCGAACTTTCATTTTCTTTTCTTTTTCTTTTTTTCGAACTTTCTTCATTAGATTGGCTTTCGCTTTCGTTAAAAGCATTATTAGATTGGCTTTCAATTTCATTAAAAGTTTCAATTTCAGATGATCTTTCTTCATAGGATTGGAAGTCTAAGGAAGAAATATTATCGAGAGATTTGTTTTCAAAACATCCTTGAAACTGATTTTCAACGAGTTGGGGAAAATCCATAACGATATAGTGTTGACCAGTTTCTTTTTCAGTAAAAATATTAGGACATTCAAAGAAATTCAAAGAATTGTAGTTTGGTGATAAATAACCAGTCAAATCGAGTTTTAATTGCTCTACAATATCTTGTTGACATTGTTGTTCAAACTGTTGAAATTCTATATAATTACGTTGATATTGATAAAGCCGAATCTTTCGACAAATAACTTCATAGCTTTTGTTAAGATCACCTTGAAGATGATAATAGGTAATAACATAATCATTCATAAAGAAAGTGTTATAATCTAATGCATCATTTGATGGAATTTCTTTATATATTATATGATATTCGTGTAAATAAATTAATGCGCGTTCAGTTATCATGTCTTGAGCATTAACTGACGTGTTGTCAAACGCCATATTTTAACTATAATTTTATGAATATTACAAATTTTTTGGAAGAGCTAAAAAAAATTTGGGTTGCTTTTTTTTAAAGGTTTTATACTTATTTCTTTGAATTGGATTCAAATTGATTCGGATCGATTCAATCTCTTTACGAATTTCATCGTAATTCAATTGGTACAACAAATAAGTAATTGTGATTATTTATCCCTTTTTTTTACTGACGTTTCCCATATATCAAATTCAATTATGATGGTAGTTTATTCGCATTGTAACAATAAATAAAGTGCTGTGAGAAAATAATCCTTCGGGCATAATATCTTGCATTGGTATGTAATACGTTTGAAAGCGTTTGATCACAGTTTATCTATCAATGCATATTAGAATTATCTAACATCAGTAATCCAATCCATTACGCTTTTTGCATTAGGTTGGGACACAAAAATAACAACCATTTATAATGACAATGATCAAAACCAAATGTAGATTTGAATCGGGCACGTGGGGTGACAATAATCCAATACAAAAGAAGTTGAGTTGTCACAAATCCAAATCCGAAATAAAAACTCTGTTCGATATAGTTAGCTCATTTCCTTAACCGGTAATTTTTTTTTTTTTTTTTTTTTCATGAACAATAGAATACATAGGATTAAATTAAATGCACAAGAGATCTTTGCTTAATAATGCAACAAATGATCAGGGGAGGGGGTAGTGTATATATATATCATGTGAAATTTATATTATATAACAAAATTTATACGTGAGTTATATGTCAATTAGAATTCTCAACGACTTCAAATTTAAATAAATTAAATATTATAATTTTAAAGAAATGCATCATGATAAATTTTTGATCAAAATCACTCAATTTACTCAATTTAAATTAAATTAGTAAATGATTAATATGAATTTTTGCAAACAATTAACTGGGAGATACTACAAAGACCAAAATATTCTCCACCAGGATACTTTAGGGATGATTATCAACTGTATTTAAAATTAATATCGACAATAATTAAAGTACGTTTAATGCAACTAATTATTTTATCAGATGTAATGTTAAGTTTTTAAAAATAACCTCGTGACATCCAACTAACCAACAATTTAAACACTCTTTATCGTTTCTAGATTTTTCTCAGAAAATTCTTGTTGTTTTTGTTCAATCTTGAATCCAAGCATAACTTCGTAAATCGTTGAAGTAAATAGTGTAAGAGGTTTTAAATGATAAATAAATGTATAACCATGGATAGTTAATAATTCAGTGGTATTTTGATGATATTTCTTACAGGTGAAATTAAAATCATTTTTACAAGAGGACTATTTCTTGAAAATTAATGAAAGATGATTCATAAGTGTATTTTTACCTTCAGCTCATATTATACAATATGATGAAGGATCCAAGCTTGATTAACTGCTTTATTTATAAGAAATTGAAAATGGGTTTGAGGTCATTTTAATATACAATTGTTATCTTTTATTTATTTGTGAAAATAATTCGAATCGAAATGCGAATGCGTAAATTATCCCAATTCAAATCTAATGAGCTATCCATATTTAGAAGTAGGCCAGGTTGTTCTATTTTACTTTTGATTGTTGATTTATTAATTTACACGGATCGAAAATCGGGATCGTCATTGTGTGATACGGATTGGATTCTTAAAATTGTGATCATCACCGGCACATGATGGCAAGAATCAATATTGTTCTATTTTTAAACGAAATTTGATACAATTTGACTTAATATTAAAAATTTCCGCAAGAAAAACCGAAAACGAAATTTCAAATATCAAGCTAGAAATTTATGTTGGATTAAAAAACATTGTTTTTTTGTCTCGCATCAATGGATTTTATAGCACCGTTAGACAAATATACATAAAAAAATCACGTATCATTTTAGAGTTTCATGTTACAAAAATTGGCGCATTAACATCCATTTATATAATATTAGATGCGATCATTAGTTACATGAAATATTTTGAATTGGATGTTTTCAGGTTTGACAGCCTAATTATATAAATTAATTTATTTAGATTGGACCGACGAATATGAAAATTGACAGGAGAATTGGATCGTATCAAGTCTATCTTATTATAGTAAATTGTCTCACTTATAAAATACTTGAAATTTGATGATATCATGATTTTCTTTTTTTCTTTATATTCTCAAATTCAATCATGAATTCAAACAAGTTACAAATGATATTCACATCACTATATGCAACCAAATCACACCCAACAGATTGTTCAAATACTTAGCTTACAGCAGCATATCTCCCAAAATTTTCAAGAAGATGAAGGTAATTTTAACAGTAACACATAAACATAATGATAATCTTTGCCGAACTTAGTATATACCTATCTTTTTTTCTCCACAGTGTTAGCTACGGCATACTCCTTTATGGAGGAACTCTAGCTTTATCACTAGCGAAACTTATGAATGCGACAACTCTCTAAAGCAAAAATTAAATGGATGAAGGTTCCCGTGCTCTTATTGCTTAAATTTTTGGAATAACGTATAGAAAATGTTAAAAAATTAAAAAGCGAGTGTTACGGCAAAGAAAGTTAAAAGGAAAATTATGGAATGTTGTCACAATTACAAATATTCTGCAAATAAATGTGCGATTAAGTGGAAGAATGTTAAGCAGAAAGATTGACCGAATACTCAGCAAAGATAGTTTTACTCTTTCTATGTAAAATATCATGTACTCGTAAATTTAAATAGTTCAAAATAAAAAAAATTTTAAGTTTTTCATTTAATATTGTAAGTTTGTTTTACTTTATTTTTTATGAAGAAAACTATATTGAATACCATTTAAATATATGAAATATATGGAAAAACGAGATGATTTTTTCTAAATTCCTAAACTTTTTTCTCAAAAAAAATCTTAAAAATCTTGACGGATCGATTCGATAACAATGATTTTGTCCTTTCACTCAAAAACAAAAATTTTTTTATTACTTTCACCATTTGAAAGTCTATTATAAATGTGCTTTAACCTTGAGTACTCAACAATTTTTATTAAATTTGGATTATAATTTTTATTTTTTTATTATACAGAAATTTGGAATTGAACAAATAATAAATTTACACTAAAAATGTACAAATTAAGGTTTTGAATTTCAAAACTAGTTAATATAATTAAATATATATAAACTAAACTTTTATAAGAATATAAAATAATTGATGAATAGAATTCTACACCAGAAAATCCCATTTGATTTCGTAGACGCCCGTTATGCCAAATAACATGTATTTCTTTGTTATTAGGCGACTGTTATGAATGAAGAAAATTTTCCGATATTCCCCTTTGAGTTTTCCGGTAGAATTTAAAACAAAACAGAAAGATCCTCCAGAAATTAGGATGTCCGCTATGGCAGAATAACCAGTATTTCTTTTCCATTAGACGGTTTTTATAAGTGGAGAAATTTAATTCGGTATTACTCTTTGAGTATTCTGGAAGAATATCAAAGAAAACTTTAAAGGCTTGATATCAATATCGCATTTGTTAACTATATTAATATTATTAATATTTAATTGATCAATACTAGTTTCTTGAGTATGAGTATCAATTTTTTCATTATTATCAGAAATAATTTCAATTTAATGTGTGTAGATATTTTTAATGATTTAATAATTTATTATTACGATAAATTTTGTCTTTGGCAGTAAAAATTATTTAAAAGATATGATAAATTTGGAGATATTTATATCGGATTGGATGTCGATTTATTTAGTTGAATTGCATCAAAACATAAATTTTAGTAATACATGATGTTTGCTTTTGCATTCAGGATCATTTTTCGCCTTGCATGCAAATCCAAATCATTTCAAACAATCCAAATGAGTACAATCTTATTTGTGAGTAGCACAAATAAATAAAAATCAGGTTTAAATTTAATCCCTTTTTTGAATTGGATTGGATTTAAAAATTGTGTGGCACGACAGAGAAAAAAAAATTGTCTGTTATGTGAGAATTGGATTACTTGTATTGTAACTCAAGAAACACCACATTCGCCAATAAATGATTCGTCGAACGATTAACATATGGAGACCAGTCGGGGTTCGGAAAATCACGTGATTTCGAGAGAAAATCGCAGTTTAAAATTATTAGTTAATTTAGTAAACTGCAATTTATTCTGTAATTTTTAAAGATTTTTAAAATAGGTTTTATGTAAACTAGGATAAAATTTTGCAAGGAAGTTACTAAAAGCATTAGTTATTCTTTAGCAAGTTTATTTCATTCATTAAATATAATAATAAAAAAATACAACAATTATAAATTATAAAATATTATATTTTTTTAATATGCTATATATAAATTTTTTTTTAATTTTCTGAAAAATTAGATCAATAAATATGTAATTATAATAAAATTTTAAAATCAAAAATTTTGGCTGAACCCCGGCTTTTGCTGGACTGGTCCCCATATGCAAATATTATTTACTACGACTTTAGGATTTCATTTTTTGGTGTATTACCGAAATAAAAATGTAAAAACTCCAATATAACTCTCTCTTAAATTAATGGCATGAAATAAAGTACTTTTAGCTCAATGTTTGCCATTCACTAAAGAAATAATTATGTAGAAGTAATAATTAATATTTTGAGAAATAAGTATCTACTGTAGAGCCCTGACTATAGTACTCCCATGTATAATACCCTCCCTGGTTTTGGGTACAATTTTGTAAAATTATAATAAGAGATTTTTATTTTGACATTTTGGGAGGTTTGCGATTAAAATCACATTACGGGGTCATATGATTTACTATATTCGTAACTCGATTTAATAGCAAACCTCCCGTTTGATTAAATCGAAAATTTATTATTTATAAGTAACCAAAATCCAACTTTTATAACATATTTAATATTTTATTAAAAAATATAACATTTTTTAAGTTTATAGATAAATTTGCTTGTTAAACAATTTAAGAAATAATATCTTACTAAATTATTCTATTGTTGATAAATTAAAGGATACTTTTCTTTTTAATTTAAAAAATTTTAAAAAATATATTTTT